TTCTAGGTGATTGTGTGATCTCAATTTTGAAGCTTCAATTGAAAACCTGTGTGATTTCAAATTGGGTACAAAATCCCAATTTTAGATTCTGGCATTCCTTCGGCAAAATCCCTTGAAGCTTTCGGGTACAAAATCCATTGAAATCATCCATCGGCATTCCTTCTGAAATCCTCCTTTTGAAATCCTCCAAACTTCGACGTTCCTCCTTCAAGGGTATGTAGTCGACTGTTTTTTTTTCTTGTAATCGACTGTTTTGTAATACTCCAAACCTCATTGTTTTTGTTATCCAACAAGGGTATTCATCGATCGATTTTGAATGTTGTTTAAATAAATGAGGTTTACATAATTGACCGTTCGTTAGCAACCTCCGATATTCAAAGGATTTTGTTGGACACAACCTGTTTTTAGGACACCTTATAGATATGGTCAGTTGGGGAGATTATATTGAAAATATAGTTTAGATTAAATAATAAATAATAAAAATATTGTTAAAATTAGATTGTCGGGTAGTTTAGTTTGAAAAAAAAAATTAAATAAATTTTCAATCTTAAATCTCATCTTAAATTTCAAATTTCAATAAATTTAAACCCAGACCTCAATTCTGATGTTTCAATAAATATCATTAGTACCTGGAACTTGTCAATTCTTATGTTTTTTTAGCTCAATGTAACCATTTTATTGTTAAACATTTAAAATTTATTGTAAAAAAATCAAGAACATCCAATTAGATTGCGTAGAACTAATTGATACTCATTAGGAATATAATATGTGGTACTAATTGATACTCATTAGGAACTAATTAATTTTAACAATATTAGGAATACGCATTCTTATTTGTTGGTTCTATCAGACGAATTTTTTTTGGGCTTGATTCAATGGTTGAATCTTGTGGAATTTTCTTTTTTCGTTAATAATCTAATTTTCTAAGAACTGGGTTTGCTGCAATAGGAAGATTCTTTCGAGTAATGTTTCAGTAACTCGATGACTAATTCTCATATATCAAGAATTAAAATGCAGCTTCTTAGAATGTAATAATCGTGGCATATTAGTCATGAATGTTGATGGACAAGGATAATCCAGTCAAAATGGCCGTCTACTCTATAGAATCCTATATTTACTCCGTTGTACTGACGTCTTTTGTTTATTTTGTGAGATAACCTCTAGTAGCCATATGTTTATACATCCATCGTATCTCCCCTTATGTAAATATTAATATATGTTTCCTTGATTGCTAATATGCATTTTTTATTTTGTTGGTTTTGGTTACCTTTTTGCCATATTTTATGCATTGATCTTTGTTCCGATGCAGTGATAAAGAAAGATTATGTGATGCAAAATATGGCTATTTTCTGCCGATAATTTTCAAACTATTTTCGGGGTCTGAACTTTCACTACCCCTGTAGATGGTGTTATATACGGGGTTAGTATCTACAACTATGCAGTAGTCGCTGCACCTAATATCCGCCAACAGGGATATGGCACACGCTACGTCCCTATCTACTAACAACCTCATAATTATCGACTTGCCAGCACCATTTCTGAAAAGTGAAAGACGTGTAATTTTTTTTCCTTCTGGAAAATGAAGATCTCTAGAGATACATTCACAGAGTTGTTGTAGGGTGCAATCGAATGGAATTGAAACGTGCCCGGTAATGAACCCTTGATAATTGTTGTGCTCATCCCAACTAAAATCGTGGCTAACAATGATCTCATAATGTTCCCGCATTGATTGATTTAATTCTTGAAAAAATGTAAAAATAAAATGGGTGGGGATTAATGATACCTTGTGTGAGAATATTAAAGAAACACTGTATTTGAGGTTTCTTATTACAGTGGAATGTTCAAACCAATTAGTTAGGTTTGTTTAAAAAAATTAAACACATTTTAAACTTGTTTGAATCATATATGTAGATTTGGTGGTTTAAATTTTGTGAAAAGATTTTAGGAATTATATAGATTTTGTAGCTAAAGGTGGTTTCAATATTAAGTATGATATAGGTAGATTTTGTGGTTTAAATTTTGTGGAAAGATTTTTGGAATTTTGTAGATTTTGTAGTTAAGGTGGTTTCAATATTAAGTCTATAACATTGCTAGTTAGGGGCAGATTTAAGGGAATGTGGGAGGCCTAAAACATGGATGGGTAAAATGGAGAAAGATTGCAAGGGCAATATGGGCATGAAATGTGTGGAGGGATAAATAAGGAATTATATACCTCCCAAATTTAGGAAACCAATTTTGGCCAGGTCATGCATTTAGAAAAACTTTGACCATTTTTCTTAACGATAACGTGTGTGTAGCCATTCGTAAGGATTTCCTTCCCTTTCTATGAAGCCCAATATGTATAGTGTTGCATTTGGCCCAATAGTAAATAAACCCACCCAATATGTATAGTGTTGCATTTGACCCAATAGTAAATAAACCCACGTAATATACTTTAGGATTAATACGTTACAAAGAGATTCATTTTCAAAAATTTACACTCTTGTCTTAGAATACATGGTTTAAGATGGAACTCATATATATTTTACCAATATACCATTTTTTATATATGTAATTATTATTAAGATATGGAAATTAATGGAAAAATGATTGATTTTCACTATTTATATTTTAAATCCTTAAATTTATACACCTTTTGACTTTCGTGAAAAAAGCTTCTCAAATTTTTAGTTATCTATTCCTCATCTTCATTCCTCTTATTTTCTCTAGCTTTTCACCATGGTTTCCGGCAAGTCGTCTTCTCATCTTCTTAGTGTTCTCCATTTTTTGTCGTTACCGTTTCCGACAACCTGTTCCTGATTCGCTCGCTTTTCAACATTATTTTCGGTAGTCCATTTTATGCTGTTTACGTTTTAAAACTTCTAGATTTGTTTTTTATTTTCGATTTTGGGTATTTAAAAAGTATTCGATGCTAACGTCGTATATATTTTATTATATAGGTTATTTGCTTTGTTTGTTAATTGAAGAGAGATATAACCGTATATACTTTATAGTTCATATATAAGTTATAGTTTACARCCTATATATATATGTATGTATATATATAGGACAGAAACGAAAAGGATGAAATCACAGTGCTCCATTGACGTCTTACCTTATCATGCCAGCAAGTTTACTCTTCTAAAATGTTGTATTGAAATTGAGCCAAAAATTGGAATGAGATGAAAAAAACATTTTGTAATAAATTTAATTCTTTATAGAATATATTAAGGAGTAAATTAGGGGATTATGAGAATAATTGATTTGGGTCCCACAATCCATGTTTACAAAATCAAATTTGCAACCTTAAATCTTTTACAATTAAATAAAAAATAATTATAATAAACATAAATGCCATAAATAAAGACAAATTTGATATTTTGGAAAAGTTTTAAATCTATAAATCTAAAACTGTAAAATTTGTAAACATTAGACATTTGTGAAAATAAGTTTCCAAAACAACCCGTTTAAGATGTTATCTCTATACTTTACATAAATATTGATGTAGATAGTCGTCATATCTCTTATTTGAGCGGAAAAACAAGAAAAAGGTAAAATTTTTAATTGTTTAATTATAGTATATAAAGCGTCATTCTAGTTTTTTTTTTTGAACAGAAAGGAGGCTACAGGCTTAAGAAACCTAAAGAGGAACAAGGCGGGGCATGGAGACCGGCCCCCGTAGCATCAGCAATAAAAAAGGAAGTAAGACTCGATGGAAACCCAAAGAGATCGAGGAAGCCTGACGGGCAAGCTAGTCCGAGTTGGCTTCACCTAGTTAAATGATTGTGAATTTTACCTTTTGTAAGATGCGGCTATAACTGAGACGGGAGAATTACAAAATAACATAGGTAATTGGAATAAATATTGAGAAACAAATACATAAACCATTAGGTCGAGACACGAGTATCTCGTTCCCTATAAAAAGATTCATTTATGTAGTTCAAACCAACATGAATGTATTCATTGAGCTTAATTAAAGCTCTACAATAAAGAATACCTTGTTTTAGTCGATTGCTCTTAAAAGCAAAAGAGTGAAAATAGCGAAAGTTTTAAATTTTACAAATAGTTTTAAATTTATACGTGGACAAAAACTACCACAATTTTACTAATAGTTTTAAATTTATCATTTTCATTATAAATAGTTTTAGAGCTATTAGATTAAGGAGAAAAGAGTAAAAGGACAAAAAAACCAAAGACCAAATCAAAATCCATCATTCCTGCAAAAGGCCACCCCAAAAACAACGCACCTTCTAGAAATAAATTAATGATAAATAATCTAATACAAAAATATCAAGGCGCGTAGTTGACTTTTTGTTTCTTTTCTTTTTTAGTTTTTTAAATACAAATCCTAATCCAATAAAATCAAAAGTGAAAAACAATTAAAATAATTATTTTATAAAATTCAAAAACTAACATAGAAATTTTGAGAGTTTAAATATTAATATATACTATTTAAACATTAAATCAATAATAAAATAAAAAAATTGAACGTCAAACATCTTAGTTAAAGATATATATGTACATTATAAAAACATATTAATATTAAAAAAAAATAACAAATTAAAGGTACTAATCTCACTAATTATTCAAATTTATGATTTAGTTGAATCAAATTAAAATTTTCGTTAAATTATAAATTTGACTCTTTTTTTTAGAAAATTATAAATTTGACTCTTGAATTGTGTTTAATAATAGGTTTTTGAAATTTAAAAAAGTATATAATAAATGTGAGAATAGGTCTTTAAATTGTCAACATGGTTATTTGGATATATTCCTTCCTTCGAAGTCGAGGATTGGATTCTCATGTCGCCAAATTGTTGTACTAAAAAAACCATATGTTTTTAAACGTTTAATTTTGTTATTTAATCTAACACATCCAAAACTTACTTTGACACGAAAATAAAGTTTATTACTAAATTTGTAATTTAATTAAAAAATAAAATAAGTTAAGAAATGAATTTTCCCGAAAATAAAATAACTATCAAATCCTACATACACTTTTGATTTGTCAAATAAATGAGCGAGAAATCTGAATCTGTCAACATTCTGTGAATCCGAAGATTGTTTATAATATTATTGTCCATCTTCTTCATCCTCTATTCTGTTCATTCTCATTTCGGGAACTCAACACGAGAAAAATCAAATCAAGAACATGCGATTTTGAAATGAACAATCGGACGGGACTTCTTCGAATTCGCCTGCTGCGAGGCGTTAATCTCGCCATTCGCGATGCTACCACCCGCAGCAGCGATCCTTACGTCGTCATCTCCACTGCTCATCAGGTTCTTTCTTCCTCTTCTCTGATTCATGTTCCCGATCGATCTATTCTTCGATTCCGGATCAAGAAATATATGTATGTGTTTGGATTTTCTCCTTCGAAACTATGTGCGGTTCGAATTCGGATTGAATTTTTTTCAAGCTTCCGCTGGAAATATTTGTCAATTTTTTTCTTCTTCTTTTTTTTTTTTTTTCCGATTTTAGGTTTCTCTGTTCGGATTTTCCCTTTCGGAACTATGCTAACGGTTCGAATTAGGATCTTTTGTGATGTTTTTATAACTTCCTTTCGAATTATTAGTCAATATTTTCAGTTTTTAGGTTTTTCTGTTCGCATTTTCCCTTTCGAAGCTATGCAAAGAGTAACTGCGCGTATTCAGATTGCGATTGAAATATTTGTTAATTTTTTCGGTTTCTAGGTTTTTCTGTTCCGATTTCCCCTTTCGAAACTACTCAAACGGTTCGAATTCGGATTGCGATTATTTGAGAACTTCCTTGGAAGTATTTGTCAAAATTTTCCGTTATTAGGCTTTTTTGTTCGTATTTCCCTTTCGTAACTATGCAAACGGTTCGAATTCGGATTGAAAATCTTCCAGAACTTCCTTGGAAATACTTCTCAAATTCCTTTTCCGTTTTAGGTTTTTTCCATTTGAATCTTACGGTCTGGCTCTGATGCGATTGAAACTTTTGTGCAGAAATTTAAATCTCGTGTGGTGAAAAAAAACTGCAATCCAGAATGGAACGAGGAATTCACGCTTTCGATTACGGATATCAACAATCCAATTAAACTAGTAAGTAAAATCTTCCAATCTTCCATTGAATAAAAAAGAACGTCCTCAACACGTGAGAAATTAAACAACAATCTTTCAAACACACATCCAAGAAATTACTAATCACACATTCCTTCCGATTCATGGATTCTCAGGCAGTGTTCGACAAGGATCGGTTCACAAAAGACGACGGAATGGGGAGTGCAAAGATCGACATAAAACCATACATAGAGTGTTTGAACATGGGACTGGAGAATCTGCCAAATGGATGCGTGGTGAAAAGGGTTCAGCCAAGCAGATCAAACAACCTTGCAGATGAGAGCCCATGCGTTTGGAACGATGGTAAGATCGTCCAAGACATGACTCTCAGATTGGAGAATGCTGAATGTGGAGAAGTCATGATTCAGATTCAGCTGTTCAATGCTGCTGGGATCAAAGGCCTTAGAACCAACTCTTTGGCCTGAAATTTCTCTGCCTCTGCCTCTGCTTTCTCATTGATCGGTGATCATACCAATTTCTTTTTACCCTTGTTATATATGTATATTTTTGTGTTTGTTGTATTATGATTGATGAATTGTTGATGGCTGGCTAGAAGATTTTTACTCTAGTTTTTTTGGTTCGTTTGAATGGTTGTTCAGGTGGTCATCAACCATTACATTGTTTGTGATTTGTTAATTTTGTACTAATTTGAAGTTTGGAGAGGATTCTCTGTACTAGCTAGTGATTTGTAAGTTTGATTGTTATGAAGAAATAATCGTAAAATAGAAATGAGAATATTTGTATTTCTTTTTTCTTTTCTTTTCTTTTTTTTTTACAATATTATAGTTCAAATTAGGGTATTGAATTTCCGTCAACACATCAGACATTTTCATCCATTTTTCCACCATCATTTTCATAGGATTGCAAAAAATTCAACCAAATGTAAAACATTTCACATAATATCCATAATATAGACAATAATATTATCAATATTAATAATTTTTATTTTTAAAAAAAATTCAAAATATTTATTTGTTATTTTCAATATTTTTTATGGATATTTTTTATTTTTACACTTTTGTTTTATAGAAAATCTATCAATATTAATATTTCCAGCAGACATTGACAATTAAATTATTTGTTCAAATAGACTGTTTGTAATGGGTTTGGCAGAAATCAAACCTCCAAACCTAATTGTCCATTTTTTGAATTGTAATATTTTGTAAAAAAAAAAAATTGATACACTATTGATTTAAATATTGTGGTGGTTAAATTTTCAACTTTGATTCATTTTATTTGTTGTCCTTTCAACTTTTGTTTATTGTATTCCATATATATTTAAAAGGAAAAGACTTTCCTTCTCAAGTGCTCCTTATCTTCGTGTGGTTCTATAATAGACAAGTGTTGAGTATTCTTTTTTTAATTATTTTATTAAAACTCATAATCTCATAGAAATCTCTGTCATATCTTTTAGTTTTATTCTCTCCCCCTCCTCTTCTCATCTCCTTTTTCTCTCTTATTCCACCAACAGCTTCAAGTTTAGTATTAAAAATACATCTCTACAGTTTATAAGGTATATATATATATATATATGTTTTTCTTTTTAATTTTTATACTGATTATCGTGGTTTAACATATATCATTTTTTTTCTCTTCTATTATTTGGTTCTGCCGTCTTATTGTCTTCTAATTTTAAATGGAGGTTTTGCATTTTTTTTTAGTCATTTTTGCAAAGAGATTAATCGAAGAAGCTTTTGGACATTGGATTAAAATTGTGAAATTTTTTTCTCTTGTTTCCCTGTAGCTTTAGATGACCACCATTGCATGATAACCACTCGATTATTGTAAGATATGAAGAAAATTTATGAACAGATAATAAATTACATATGAAGACACAAATAAAAATGATTTAGCCAAATTTGCCTACATCAAATAAAAATCAAGAGTGAGTTTTCTTATTAGTCAGCAACCAAAAAAGAGGAAATTGAGAAAAATTAATACAAGATAATGCTTCAAATTATGAAAAAACTGATAACCTGATGTAAACAACAACTCAACTGTCACTTATAACCTGATCTAAACAACAACTCAACTGTCACTTACATGTTTGCATATGCTTTAATAACACACAAATGATAAAGTTAAAACCTTTTCTAATTTTTCTTCTCTTCCTTTATCTTTTTTCCTCACCTTTTATGAACAAATTATCTTTTTTGTTGATGAATTAGTAAGAGAGTGATTTAAAACTATAAAAATTAAAAACTAAAAGATTTGACGAGAATTTAGGTTTTAATAAAATAATTAAAAAAGGAATATCTAACATTTGTCTTCTTATTATAGCCACGTGAAGATCAAGAACACAATGCTCGAGCAAAGTTTTTTCTATTTAAAATGTTTGTTTTGGTTAATTGTACTTTCAAAAGTGACCATCTTTTTATCTCTTATCTACAAAATTTTAACACATCTTATACATAGAAATTATTTAATAAAAAGTTACGACAACATTTTAACAATTTTATTAAGTGTGGGAGATAAGCAAAAAAATTGATGGATCAAAATGATTCTGAAAGTACAAAAATTAAAATGGACACAAACTAAAAGTAGAAAGGAAATGAATGGGCGCTTGCAAATTAGTGAAAATATAAAATAAAATAAAAACTTATAGAGTTATTTTTAAAATTAGCAACCATATTTCAATGGTGTAAAAGAAGCAAGATTTGGAAACTCAACTCATTCATAATATACCTTATTTAATTATACATACATATACATATATATACATATATATATATATATATATATATATATATATATATATTTTGTTTAAGCAAAGAATTGTACAACATCAAACCTTGGTCAAGTTCGAACTCGGTCTTAGCTCTGACTTGGAACACAACGGGAATATATATGCAAGAGGACAAAATCTTCGACGCTCAAGTCAGTAAGTAGCTCGGACTCAATATCAAGTTCGAGGAAAAATTTGATACTTGGTGGTGAAATGAGTCCCTCTATTTATAGGTTTAGGCTTTGACAGGGCTTGCGATAGGCGGTTACCTTGGTCGGAGTTAAGGTCGAACCTGTCGGATTGAGATCGAACCTGGGCAGTTTATCCTTGACATTGGCGGTTTTGATAAAATAATGACTAAGTCTTCCACCTCGGAAGGTGCCGAGATGGACCTGCCTGGAAATTCGAACGGGGATATTCCTTTTGGCGAACCACCGTCCTCCATGTGACACTTTGGTTTTCTTCCCCAAACATTTGCCCCCTCTCTGTCAGGTTCGAGATCGACCTGGCAGAGAAGTTAATTTTTAGGAAACTGACCACCGTGGCGACTTCCGAGTTCGTGGTGAAAATGTTAACGTTAGGGAACCTCGAAAACGGAACCCACAGCTGTCACGTACTCGAGCGTCTCCAATGTTCGAACTTCCGCACGATTTGGGTCGTTCGCTTTTGGATACGTGTAAGGATGGGATTAAATTTCGGAGCACTATAAATAGCCCCAGGGTTTAGATCCATTTTTTACGCTTTCTGAAATCTTGGAGTCTGACCTGAGTAACTCGGAGCTTACCCTAGGTTAGTCTCTCTCTTCTGCTTTTGCTTCGCACTTTTAGTTTTAAACCATGTCGAGTTTTTCTAGTTCGTCTAGTAGGTCAGAGTCAAATTTGTTCGCTTAAGAAGGCTGACTACATAGAGGAATTCGCAAATAGGTTAGACTCCGAGCTAGAGGAAGAGATAGACAACTTTAGGTTTTCTGATGATGATGAGGACGATAGCAACACTTCTATCTCGGGGCAGGGTTTGGAGTTCCCTTTTCAAATGCTGGAAAACTACCTCAGCCCTATTCGTAAGAGGTATGGTAGTCCAGATAGTATTGTCCTTCGGTTTCCCAAGGAAAGGGAGCGTGCTGACAATCTATCCGAAAGGCATGTTGCTCTGTACTTGAAGATGTTCAAGTACGACTGTCACCTACCAGTTAATCCTTTGGTGCAAGAGCTTCTAGCTCGAATTGGGTTGGCTCCTGCTCAAGTAGCTCCCAATGGGTGGGGTGTCGCTTTTGGTTTAGCAGTCTTATTTTGGCTAAGGTGTCACGAGGTAGACGGGTTAGACCTCCTTAGGACCGACCACCTCTTAACTTGTTTCGAGATAAAACGCATCTCCAAGAAACCTAGGTGGTATTACTTGTGTGCTAGGAAAGTAACCTGGATGGTATTACTTGGGTTGAAAAATGGTTCTATGCCTCCGGAGAATGGTTGGCCAAGGTCGAGTCCGCTTCTATAACGTTCCCTGTAGGTTAGGGAACTTAGGTAAGAGGTTGAGTCTTTTGTTCTTCCGAACGTTGCTCCTTCTTGTACTCTAACCCTTTGCTTCTTTTTTTTTTTACAGTTGTCATCAGACCTGTTCCTCAACTTTCTCAGTCGACGTTCGACATTCTGAAGTTTTATAAGGACAAGTTCAAGAGTGGAAAGAAGATCGGCACTCTCTTGACCGACAAGCTGCTTTTAGCCTCCGGACTGCTACACTACAATCCTCTACTCATTTCTCCTGAAGCCTAGAGACCCAACTCAGAGCTCGGTACGTCATCCTTGGATCTTCATTTAACTACTTAAAGTACTTGTCAATTTCCTTACGTTGTTTTACATTCGCTCAAGATGTGAGACGCAAGTGTCCTCGTCAAGGGCAACCATCCTAATCAAGGGCGGAACAGAGCCCTGTCATAGTCCACCTTCCTCCCGAGGTCGAGTTAGAGGAAGTTCGCCAGGGGCCTGTTGGTCCACAGGATCATGAGATCCTTGATGTCTCCTCTCTCAAGGAGTTCGGAGGCATCTTCCCTTAAGAGATCCAAAAATAAGAAGAGGAAGACCACCTCTTCTGAAGATGTCGTTGAAGAAGTCCGAGCTGACATAAGAGGGAGTTGCTTCGTCGGGCTCACCCACGATCTAGAGGCAAGAACGGGCGCCACCTCGGACATTGAGATGAGGTTCAAGGTCAAACCTTCCAGTGCCGGGATGAGGGAGAAGGTGATGGAGATGTTCGGCTCCTACTTTGATCGCCGCTGAAAGAGGGCTTCCAAATTTGTCAGCGCTCCAGGCTCGGCTATCCAGTGACTGTTGGACTATACTGCCGAGGTAAGACCTGTCTTTTCATCATTGGCCTTTGGTATTTGTCTAACTCTTTTCTCGTTTGTTCGCAAGCTCACGCAGCTGCCTGTCACGCGGTAGTAATGGTGAAAGCCAAACTGGACTGTCGCGACCTCCTCACTATGAGAGAGCGGGAAGCCTCTTCGGCCGCTTTTGAGACTGCTGCTAGCTTAGAACGAGAGCTCAAGAAGGCCCGAGCCGAGATTCAAGCCTGGAAGTCTACTTCTAAAGCCGACAAGGCCGAGCTTAAGAGCGCTCAGCAGGAGGTCAAGCGCCATATGAAGGCTTTAAGGGGTGCGCACACCGTGGCTAAGGGCTTGGAGAAGGAGAAATTTGCCCTTATGAAGCACAATGACCAACTCGAACACAACACTGGAGACCTTCAAGCCAAGGTGGAGAAGCTGAGGGCAGAGCTTGAGTTCAAAAAGTCCAAGCTCAGCAACGGGGTGCTCCTGGAGGAGACTTTTCGCAAGCATCCAGACTTCGACAGGTTCCAAAGACTTTAGCGACGCTGACTTCAGGTTTCTAATGAAGGGAGTTCAGGAAACGGCTCCTGAGGTCTACCTCGACCTGTTATTTTTTAACTCCTAAATTTATCCATCTGTTTAGTCTGAAGTTTGTTTTTATGTTGTTAGCCTTTAATTCTTCAACTCATGTTCCTATCTATT